GAGCGTGGGGTGGTGGGGGGGGTGGCGAGGGCGAGAAGGCGTGGGTGTGTGTGTGGGGGGGTTCAGGGCAGAGGGCTGGGGTGCTCGGCTCGTGGGGGTGCTCCCAGTCCCCTGCCCTGAGCGGCTCATGGCAGGGGGCTGGAAGGGATATGCCCTGTTACACCCCCTTCCCCAAGGTCCTGTCCCCACCTCTTCTCTGCCTCCTCTACGGAGCAGCGAGCATGCTGCCACTCCTCTCCCTCCCCCTCACAAGGGCCATCAGCTGATTGGCCAGGGAAGGAGAGGAGGAGGGGTAGGAATGCACCACGCTGGGGGAAGAAGTGGGGGAGGGAGGAAGCTTGGCTGCCGCAGGACCAAGCTTCTGCCTCCTGCCCCCGCAGGGGAAAGCAGTGGGCAGGGCGGCTGAGTGGGGCTGGGAGCTTGGACCGTGGCAGGCAGCAGCGTGCCACTCAAAATCAGCTTGCGTGCCGTGTTTGGCACGTGTGCTGTAGGTTGCCAACCCCTGCTATACCATGCCACCCTTACTTCTGCACCGCTGCAGGCAGCGACTCTGCCTTCAGAGCTTGGCTCCCAGCCAGCAGCCGCCACTCTCCACCTGCCTAGCTCTGAAGGCAGAGCCACTGCCAGGAGCAACGCAGAAGTAAGGGTAGCTGTACTGCAAAACCCCACTCCCTACAATAACCTTGAGACCTTCCCACAACTCCTTTTTGAGTCAGGACCCCTACAATTATTACAACACGGTGAAATTTCAGATTTAAATAGCTTAAATCGTGAAATTTACGATTTTTAAAATCCAATGACTGTGAAATTGACCAAAATGGACCGTGAATTTGGCAGGGCCCTAATAATCATTGTAGACTCCATTCTGTGGTAAGGCACAGCCCATAGTAGTAGGTGGTGTATAGCTGTGTCATCCTTGGAAACATCCCAGGGAAGGAATTGTGGACCAATCAACCAACATTCCCTCCTTTGCTCCTGGGAGATGTTAAGTTATTGCTCGCCTGACTCTCATGCTAGCTCAGTTGTTCTGGCCAGTGAGTTGAAACCAAACCCTGAACTTCCCTGATCACTCTTTACTCTCCTGCTCAGGGAAAGGAATAAGCAGGTGCCTTTACTTACCCTTTCACAACACTGGTCCAGGTAGCCTGCCTAAAGGTGTACAGTGGATTCTTACTGCTCTGCCTGTACACATACTCCAAATCAGAATTTGGTCCTTAAGTCAACTACATAATTTAGTAGTACTGAGCTAGGATTCATTAAGGGCTAGAGTATTCAACCCTTACTCACTTTGAAACCAATGGGACTACTTGTGTGAATAAATGCTCTCCCACAAAAGTAGCCCCAATCTAGCCCCAAACAAGTAAATGCTCCAGAAAAAAAAATCTATTAAACAATTAATCCATAACCATTAGAAATTTTGAAAGGAATTAAAATATCATGTTGTCTGTGTCAAAGCAGAAGACTTCAATTTTTCTTCTGTAGGAGTTTAATCCTAAAGAAGAACTGTCACAGATATTTAGCTAACATTGACAAAGGTTCAGTTTTAGGATTCAATTTCCACAAAAACAGTATTTTAAAAACTTTTACTTTGTCATGAAAAAGATGATTTGATGTAGATATTTTCTAAAAATGAGCCATTTTGATTGACATTTTCCAAATTCTTTCTGTTTTGAAATCTGCTCAGCCAAAGCGAGCCCAATCCGTGCTGTTGTTCTAACCGCGTTTTGTGGCACTACACACACTGAGTAGTTTTGAAAGCAGCTAGACAACTTGTGGACAACATGAATAAGAAGGGGCGGGAGGGACAGAATCATGATGTTAGAAGCTTGATAGATATAGTTGCTTTAATTTTTTAAAAAAGTTATAGTAAATAACCCCACCACTCTGAGATGGTCTCTTGGACGTTTGCTGCATCTGTAACATTGCAACAACTGACTCTAAATTTAGATTTCAGATTTATTTTACAGTAGTTTCATTTAATGCTTTTGCCAAAGCATCTCATTAACATTTTGTGTGAATTAGTCTAGCAATTTAGCAGCGTACAATTTTTATTTGTTGTGCAAACTGGCTTAATTATGGATCCATCTGGCAGGAGAACTTAAAAAGTTGAAAAATTTGTTAGTCTCTAAGGTGCCACAAGTACTCCTGTTCTTTTTTAAAAAGTTGAAGATGTTCTTTGTTCCTTATCCCACTGATTTTACAGCTTCAAATAAAGGACCCAGTCCTACAAACCCTTAACTCATATGACTAATGCTCACTCATGGCAATAGCCCTTCTCTGCTCCCCTCCTGCACTCCTGGTATAGGCCATCAGAAAATTACTGCCTTTGGGAACTAGGAGCAAACAAGGAAGGAACTAGGGGGCTGAAGGATTTTTGTGTCATAATGTCCCCTCGTGGATTAGTGTGTTACCAGTTGTTCAGATCTGTACCTAAAGTCAAAATCCAGCCCACTTAAGTCAGTGTGCCACTTCATATCTACATGGGTACATAAAAGGTTTAGTGTTCTGTTGTCTGTGGCTCTCTTTTGTTTTTTTTCCGGGAAGGCTTATGTGCTGCAAGTAGCAGATGTGAGGTTGACCTTGACTTTTCTTCAAATTGGTGGATTTTTTCCATATCTTGTGGAGTTCCTACATTCCTCTATTGTACTGTAATCTGTTGTATTCTGTTTTCTCATATATCTTGTATTGCATGGAGATATTTAAAATAACCTGCTAGATTGTGCTGTTCTAAACTGGAAATCCAATAAAACAGAGGGCCAGATTTGGGCTAACCCTTGCATTGGTACATGAGGGAGAGGAGGATGGCTCAAAGAACCTCCCTCATACTTTGGCTTCTCGCACATGTGCTGACTGCATTTAAAGCCCTTGCAAACCTACAAGGGCAATGGATGCTCAAGGCTAGCTTCACCCAAAGGGGTGGGGAAGAGATGAGGCCATGGCTTCTACTACTACTGTGGGGTGGAGCTGGGCTGCCACTGAGGAGCCTCACACTGTATCCTTCTTCGGGGCTTCCTTAAGCACAATCCCTCCTGCAGCTCCTACTGGGGCAGGGAATCTCTGTACTACCTTCTACTTAGGGCAGGGGTCGGCAACCTGCAGCTCCAGAGCTTCATGTGGCTCTTTGGCTGCCCCCTTGCAGGCAGCCGTTTTTTGAGGGAGTGTGAGGTACAAGCTCTGGCCGGGAGGCGCTTACCACAGGTGGCTCCCGGCTGGCAGCACAGCAGGGCTCTGCCCCATGCCACTCCCGGAAGCGGCTGGCAGGTCTCTGTGCGCCCCTTGGGGGGAGGGGAGCAGCGGGTCTCTGTGTGCTGCCCGTGCCCACAAGCACCACCCCCGCAGCTTCCATAGGCCAGGAACTGGCCTATGGGAGCTGTGATGATGGTGCTGGGGGTAGGGGCAGCATGCGGAGCTGCCCCCTCCCCCCCGCCAGGGGCACACAGAGACGTGCCCAGCAGCCAGCCGCTTCTGGGAGCAGCGTGGGGCCAGGGCAGGCAGGCAGCCTGCCTGAGCCCTGCTGCACCACCGGGCAGGAGCCACGTGTGGTAAGCGCCTCCCAG